AAACGAAATATAGATCTATATTTTAATTAGATTGCAAAAAAATAAACTACATAGACATTGCAAGAAATATACAACAAAAATCAAATCAATAAATAGGAATTGTTGAAAATTAATCAAATCAATGAAATAGGGTTTAATGTCCTGCTTTTCTGCAAAGGCATATGCAGTACAGACATACAGGGTGCTATGAGGGAAATTGTTCCCAGATAGCAAGGCAACGGCCTACACTCATATCAGATTCCAAATGTCAAGGGTTAATTTTTTGAGTATTGTGTTTACAAGATTTAAAAAACTTGAAATGACTTGGTAGGATAACTCCTCGATTTGCAATAAAAAAAAATTCAATTTTTTATAAGCTTCTACTTTAGACCCACCCAATCCTATAGCCTAGATACATGTACATGTACATTATTTAAAACAATTTAAAACCCTCTTTTCAACATACCAAGATAAACATCAGACTGATCAGCAGTGAATATTCGCTAGGCCGTGACAGTCACTGATAAGGATGACATCGATGCAACTTAATGAGCCACAAATATTAACTTTTTTCCTCCGACAAATTAAATTCTAAAATATTTTTTGTATGTATTAGAAAAATAAATAAAAACGTTTGAAGTATTTGTAGGTAAAAATTATTTCCTATTTTAGTGTAAATGGGTATTAAATGAGTAAAAGGCGCCATTCTGATTGAATCAGTAACGTCTTATGTAAACGATGCACGCGCCATTGAGTCAATGATTGACGCCGCGTGATATGACGTCATGTGTTGAAGGCAGTCATCTTTTACAGAGATATTTATTAAAGACTTTCATAATACTCTGTGAAACAGATTGGATAAACATATCTTACAAGTATAATATGTTGTACAATGATACAGTTGAATAATTAGTAATACAATGTGTTTATTCTTAAATTGTTAATTATGACGTCAATTGGCAGACTAGCTGTCAAGTAATGTCATTCAGGAGACAACTGATGTTGAATATTGATAGGGTTCTTCCTTCTAATGATCAAACTGACTAATTATTACCACATTCTATGGCGTACTTTGTGCTGTATCATGTTCACAAGCTTTCAATGTAAGTCGGGAGATAACTCTGAAATTTGTTACTTTTGAATTTTCGTTACAACTAACTGAACAATCCTTGCAAATTTAAATAAAATCTGAGCAGAACTGTAATGTGTGGAGTGTTCACTAAAATGGTAGATGGACTGACAGACACAGTTGACGACAACATATGCCCACATAAAATCAAGATGCATAAATAATGACTAATTATTTGTTTCGAAATGTGGGATGTGTTATTGGGTGCTATTGTATTTTGGTTCCTACCTACATGTAATGAACTCAGGAAATATCAACGGGGTATTCTGGTAGTATTTATCTGCTTGTTAACAAATGAGTGTATGAAAACAGATCTGTAGAGAATTTACACAAATTGTTGACAGACAGACAGGGGTTAACAACAAGACTACATGTATCTACTCAATGCACATGATGCACATGAAATGTGAACATATAAAAAAACGTTTCCAAAAGCAGAGAGAAATGGGGTTTAACGTCCACTCGACACAAACTAGGTCATTTCGGGACTAACATGGTTTAATTTTATTTCAATAATTCGCTTGCGCGTAGGGGTCTTTAGCAGTGGGAGGACCTGGAGAAAACCCACGAGGCTGGACAGGCGACCCTACTCCTTGTCACGTACAACCAGGGATTCGAAACCACGCCAGTTGACTCAATGACAGGCCTTATGATACAGCACGAACGTGCTAACCATTCGGCCATCCAACCCCCCCCCCCCCCGTTTCCAAAAGCATCATTGACATGGTGCTTATATCATGCTTAAAGACTCTTAGAAAAATCGTAGTTTCTAAAACAATTAAAAAAAAACATGTACATGTATGGTAGAGGTGAGTGCATACATGTATCTGCCATCAAAGAAAGCAATATCTTTTTTAATGTCTACATACGGCATTAGTAAGTAGCACAAACGTTTGTAGAACTATAACAGAACCAAATATCTCTAGAGAAATTATATGGAATACATATTCATTTACCTATCTGGAATTAGTGCTCAGTGGATTGTGGTTAGTTGGTCAGATCTCATCAAGATCAAAAATTTTTAACATTCACCAACTGACCGACCACCTGGTAAAACCAGGCTGCTTTTATAAACAGTATAAACTTTCTTTATTCTTTATTAAGAAGGCTGACAGGTATTTATAGATAAAATCTTATCTTAGAGAAGGATGATGCTACATGTACATATAATATAATTATTTTAAAGGGCCTATGGCTCTATTCAATGGAAATGGGTCTAAAAGTGATTTATATCAAAAATAACTGAAATTTGTAATCTATTATTCTCAATAAAAGTATGTGAATACCCCAAATTGAACGACAGTCATTTACACCAGCATAATCCATTCTAAACACTTTTTTATTCTTATTTTGCAGTTTGTAAATCAGTCATTACTAATTACTTCCGCATTATCTTGTAGGATATGTTTTTCTTTCTTCATTACAAATGGTACCCAAAACTATAGAATACTCAACTTGTGTATCGATTATAAAATGTTCATTGTGTTTTAAATATTGGATCCTATATTTTCATGGCAAGATAACTAATTCAATATATATTGAAATGGACCAATATTGAACTCTAATTCGTGTTTTAAATTTTGAATATTATGAAAAATACTGAGTTAGATGTTTAGCTCTCTTAAAAGAGATGGTCTACCTATTTCTAAACAGTTCATATCAGAAACAGAACTAGCATTCTTTTTTAGATTTGGAATGCCATATTGAATGCATACTTAAATATATAGTTGCATTTAGAGAACTAGAACACATAGAACTGATGGACCACCTCCTTTTAAAATGATCTGTTGAATCTGTTTGCCATAATTTCATTCCAAAATTTCAGATGTCCAAAGCGGTGATAAGTTATTGCTAAGGATAATAATTGGAAATCAGAATTTGTGTATAAATGTATGAGAACCCATTGTACTATTCCAATAAAATTCTGATTCTCCTTTGACATCTTATCCTTATCTGGAGTGGTTGCCAAGCCAAAACATAAACCCACCTGCGTCTTTTTCAGCTTTGGTATTTGTACAAAACCATTTATAAGTTTGTACATATTACTGTCAAGAATAATTTACAATTAATTTTTGTGCTTGTGCACATACCTTCCCCTTAAAATACTATTGTGCAAATTTAAATTCGAAGATGGTGTTCTCTGCAACATCTAATGTAATGTACACAGGCAATTAAACACAATCCATCATAATTAAGTTGGTTGAAATCAACTTGAGAATCTTGACATTATGCACAGAGTTCAAAATTCTTTTAACTTCCAGTAAATGAGATCATTATATGTTTTTTTAGCTTCTCCTTGTGGTTAAAAAAGGTGAAATATAATATGAGACAATTTTGTCAGCCAGTTTTATGTCAAATATAGCTTATATGTACAATATACTGAAAACTGTCTCAGATTCTTTAACGTGCACACCAAAAAATACAGGACCGAACCCAGCTTTTCTGTACCATCCAAATGACTACGCAACATTTTACTTGCCAGCCCTGCAGGCAATACATCTGGCAAATGGGGACCTACATGTAGCTTGAAAAGTGAAGTAGATTTTTAAAAAATTTGCTATGAAAATATCTGGCTGCTACAGCTTACTACATGGACTATGGTGCTTGTTAGTGTCATCGAGCACCATACTCAACCCTCACACAGTTGATTAACAAGAATCTTGTGGATGTTCCCTTGCCACTGTCATCGTTTTCAAAGCATCATCATACATGTATGTATTTTTGTTTCTATACATCTAAACCCTATGAAGACCAATAACAACAACCAATTGATGTCTATAAAATTGCAGGAATTGTGCAATCAATTTTATTTATTTTTTTCATCGGAGGGTAGCAGTTTACAATTCATCATGGCCTGCTCTTGTGTACATGTACAATCTAAACAAACTTGAACAATTGTGTTGGTAAGACTGTGTTTAAACAAAATTTTCTACTTCTGTTTCCAAACGGGTCACTTTGCATGAAGCCGACATGGCAAATGTATGCATTAGGGAACTACAGTGTGCAGTCGTCTTACTCTGTACAGTTTTAAATTGTGATTTTGTATAGAGAATTTGTGCAAATCTTATATTTGGAAAACATTTCTTCACAAGTGAGAAAAATATTTTATGTACAGTAGAGAACCTAATATATGTAGTGCACTAACATAATACGTATAATATATGTACTGTAGGCGAATGTGGTATGTAGGAATTTATGCTCTTTACAATGGGAAAGAATGATTCATTGAGACTACACTTTGATTTTTTAAGGGAAGCCGAGGATTTCAACAGAAAGTACATGTATTCTATCCTGCCCATGCAAAGACCACATTAAACAGAAAAGTCATCTATAACTGGAAATGTGAATCCTGCATGAGGGATGGATGAGTGGTGATTGGATAGGGGGATTCCCATAGGCCCAGTATTATTAGTATTGTGTACAATGATAAATGAAGGTTTTGACAATCAGAAGTGATCACTTGTGTACTTTAATTATAAACATATAGAAGAGTTGCATACTGTATAATATATTTAGACAGTAGCAGCACTGCATTCTAGAGTGAAGGCTAAAGCAACCACTTTGAAGGAACTGTAAATCTAATCATGTTGTTAAGTCAATCAAGTGTGACGTCTGGCTAGGTGTCTGCACTTGACACCGTAAAAAAACAATCTCAATCAAGACTGGATGAATAATGTGATGAGAGTTCCACTGACCTTCACACCCTTTGATTAGTCATAGACAGTATTATTATAGAAGCCATGAAAGTGAATTGATTTTGGTTTATTTACCAGATTATCCTTTGAAGACCTTCGTTCGCGACGATAGTCTATCGCACCTGATCGCTTGGAATTCGTTAATTATTCCTAGTTATAGAAGGCTGTCGGTTATAGAAAGTAAATAAATAACTTACGTTCTTTCTCATGGTCGTATCCCACCAAAACGAAGTAGTCAGCCAAGCGAGACATCACAGTATTTCCCAAAATAATGGTAATGGTACTCACACTCCCGTTACATGGCGGCCATATTGATTACCGTATACTTCGCGCACAGAGCTACGCAATGTTGAAATTTCCGGACTTGGTGGACTAAGGGGAGCAACTCTTTTAAACGACCCTACCTGTCTGTCTTTCTTCAAACTCCTAAAAATGTCTGTCTTTTTTGGGGTGTACCGGTATATTACGACCAAATTATTTTCCTAGCATATCTCTAGAACCAAAGAGAAAGAGCAAAGGACAAAAATCACCCAATCTCTCTTTTTAAAACACAAATCTATCTTTTCGTGCATGTATAGTAAATGGTTCATAATACAATAGCCTATTCACAATTCATCTGTTTTAGTTTTTAAAATTAGTATCGGATGATGCGAAAAACAAATGCTGGTGTTCCCAGCTCACCTGTGCTTCAGATTCCTTAAAAATGCCCTTTCTTGTCCTACACGTGACATTAAATTTTGAAGTTTCTTCTTTCCTGATTGACGTCCTGGGAAAAATGACCGAGATATTTCTAATAATGAATTAGGCCTACATGTCAAAATAGTTCAATTAATGCATTTTATTATTATATAAACTATTTAACATCTACTTGTTATTTAAGGGACGTAGGTATGGTTCGAAAAGGGTCAACTTATTCGCCACCCACAATTTCCAAAATTTTGTCACTTTGGAACTTTTCCGCCATTTCGTCCGAAATATTTACCATTCGTTCGCCTCTTTGTAGTAATAAATGACAACTGTTAAAACCTTTAAATCTTCGACGTAATGGATTATAAGGGTTTTTTTTATACTGCACTTGGGACGATTGAGGATATTTCACTTTGGGGAGAAATGTAAAATCTGTACGAAGTTCTTGGACCCTCCATGATATGCGATCTATATAAAAATTGTTACGGTATATATATATATATATATATATATATATATTAACATAACCCCTCCTCACCCCCTTAACATGATTTCACCTGTTCAACCGTTTCCCCAGCATATTTAACCCGTCCGAAAACCACCGTTTATCATGTGACCCTAACACATCCACAGAAGTGATGACTGCATTATCCATCCGAAATCGATGGTCGCAGGGGGCAGGTTTAAGTTGTGGGAAGAGGAAGAAGTTAGAAGGTGTTAGATCTGGAGAAAATAGACCGGGAGCCCAGGGGGTTAACCTAGCTGAAAAGTGTACCAATTCTCTCCTACGGTATCAATGCATGTATATCTGGTATCATCAGAATGTAAGTCTGCCGGGTTTCTGGTGGTGGGTGTGGTATTCCACGCCCAAAATGCCATGCCCCCCAACTAGGCTAGATTAGCTCAAAAGTGTACCACATGAAAACCGTACCGTACATCTTCAGGTGTTACAAAAACACTCTAACAGACATTTCTAGTGGTGGGTTACCCCTGACAGAGCTATGTAATTGTCAGACATTTGTAGTGGTAGAGTATCCCTGACAAGAGTTTTCTAATTTCCAGACCGCAGCTAGGCTAGATTAGTTGAAATCTGTACCACCTAAAACAGCTTTTGAGTTGTTCAGTACCACTACATGAATCATGAATGACCACTGCCAGACAGTTTGTGCGGTGACCCCTAACAGACACGCCCAAAATGCCCCGACCCCCACTACGATAGATTAACCGTCACTGTTCCCGTGGTCCAAAAAATTAAAAATTGTGCCAGGATGCGTAAAATACTAATACCTAGCACGTATGGAAGGGGCGATACTCTGCGGTTTCAGGAACAATTTTTTTTTTCAAAAACGCATTTTTAGCCCCATAAAACGTTTTATGCTCAAAAAATCAATTTCTTGTAACCGCAGTTTATCGCCTCTTCCAAGGCTGCGTGAGGGAGAATCGTGAAGCTACCAGTCATGTGCAGCGCTCACTGCTACTTGGGCATCCAAACATCTCGGCGAAGTTTATCTCTGGGATTTTCTTTCATTTGAGGACGCAATGTGCGCCATTTTATCTGCGTAGTATGCACCATTTATGGCGGAACCCCTCTTTAGATAATTTATCGTGATTACGCCCTCAGTCCCAGAAAACGGAGGTCACGACCGTGCCAACAGAAGACGTTCTTTTGAATTTATTGGGCGTTCGTGACGTTACATGCTTCCACTGCAAACTTTGACTTCTGTCTCTGGGTCAAAGTGATGAACCCAGGTTTCACCCCGAGTAACAATGTGACTCAAGAAATCACGCGGATTTCTCCGATAGTACTGAGAAACTGTTGACTAAACATGGCGCTCTGACGTTTTTGTTCCGCAGTCAACATTCTGGAAACCTAGCGGACTGACGCCTTATTCATGTGCAAATATTTATGGGTTATTTGTCCCACTGATTTTTTGCTAATGTCTTGTAATCCCGCCCCTTGTAAATTCAGCATACTGAACTAACTACACGAAGGAGCATTGTCACCTAATGTTGGTGTCATGTCATCATTAATTTGCTTTGGCGTCAACTTTTTCGAAAGCAGTTACTTAATCACGAGTCCGCATTCGGATTTCTTCATTTTGAGAGAAAATGAGGGTCATGCTGTTTATAAATATATAGGAAATTATAGCACGTGAAATTCATGTTTTGTATGTCAAGCACATCCTGGAATATTTTTCTAGCAACATCAACAGATTGATTGAGTTTGTGCAATCTTTTCATGGCTAGGCCGGAAACGTTCGAATCTTAAAACGACCTTGGATGAGTTCTATATTGATGCACATCAGACCGCAACTTCTTGGGTTTTGGCTCCTGCCTATTTCGCAAAATGTAAAATATGCACAAAGTTTGTGGACCCCTCTTGGTTCGATATAGATGAAACTTATATGTTAAGGATGAAAAGATTTTGGACGTATTTGATTACGGTGCGCGCCGGACCGTAACTGTCGGGGATATGCCCCCACACTTTGGGCAAAATGTCAACGTTTGTTTATTACATCAAAAAGAATATATAACCAGCGGCTGTCAGACAGGATATGCCAACATTTTGAAAGAGATGGATAGAGAACAAGCTAAAAACAAAGGGGATTTTTTGTACAATCAGGGGCAATATTCCAGAAAGTTATGGTCTGAAATGCGCAAATATCAAAAGGGACCGAGATCTTTGTGATATAAAGATGTGTTTTAAGTTTCATCAGAATCGGATAAAAATTGTGACCTCTAGAGGGTCGACAACTTTCGTACTGCATAGTTTTACACAATTTGCGTACAAAGAGCGACCATTTTGTTGAGCAGTTTCATTTCGATTTTCTCGAAATTTGAATTCAACCTTCATTATGGTGGAATAGTGAAATATTTAAACGGTTTTTAAAATCGGAAAAAAATTGTGACCTCTAGAGAATCCGCAGGCTAAAAATGCCATTTTTCGAACAATCAGGGGCCATAATCCAGGAAGTTAAGTTCGGGTATCCGCGATTATTCACATTTGTTTTTAAATCAGATAAAAATTGTGACCTCTAGAGGGACCTCAAGCTAAAAACGCGATTTTTCGTACAACCAAGGGCCATAATTCAGGATGTTGCTGCTATCCGATATGCGCGAATATCGAAAGGAACCAAGATCTTTGGGTTATAAACTTACAATTCAAGTTTTATCAAAATCATGCAAAAGAAAGTTGTGACCTCTAGAGGGTCCACAACATTGATATACCATATTTTTACGCTATTTGACTACGAGGCGTGGCCATTTTGTCTGTCAGTTTTGGTTCGATTTTTACGAAATTCTAACTCAACCATCCTCAGGGTGCAATGGTAATAAGAATTATGACCGCTATAGGGTCCACAAGCTAAAAACGCGATTTTTCTTACAATCAGGGGCCATAATTCAGGAAGTTACGATTCGATATGCACGAATATCGACAGGAACCGAGGTCTTTGGGTTATAAACTTACCTTTCAAGTTTCAACAAAATCGGATAAAAATTGTGACCTCTATAGGGTCCACAACCTTGATATACTATATTTTTACGCTATTTGAGAACGATGGGCGGCCATTTTGTCAGTCAGTTTTGATCTGATTTCCACGAAATTCGAACTCAGCCAGCCTTAGGGTGTAACGGTGATATACTAAAACAGTTTTTTTTAAATCGGATAAAAATTATGACCTCTATAGGGTCCACAAGCTAAAAACGCGATTTTCGTACAATCAGTGGCCATAATTCATGAAGTTATGGTCCGATATGCGCACATATCGAAAGGAACCGAGATCGTTGGGTTATAAACATATATTTCAAGTTTCAACAAAATCGGATACAAATTGTGACCTCTACAGTGTCCACAAGCTATAAACGTGATTTTTCGTACAATCAAGGGCCATAATCCTTGAAGTTACAGTCTGATACATTAAAATATCGAAAGGAACCGAGATCTTAGGGTGATAAACCTATATTTCAAGTTTCGTTGAAATCGGATAAAAAATTGTGACCCTTAGAGTGTTCACAAACAATTGTGGACGGACAGGGGCGACGACAATATACGTCCACATGAAAATGTGGGCGTATAAAAAGCAGGTCAATTCAATGAAGATTTCCATACGAACTAAATTTCATTTCTTTACTTCGTAACCTATTGGTTTAAGGGTGTCAGAATTTAGAGAAGCTACACTTTTAATTCAGAAACTTGAAAATTAAAGATACATTGTGTAAGATTTAGATAAAGAACTGCCTAATAACTTCATTCTGAGAGTGGGGTAGGGATGGACGGTCGAATGGTTAGCGCGTGCGCGTTGTATCATAAGGTCTGTCATTGAGTCAACTGGTGTGGTTTCGATTTCCCGGTTGTACATGGTAGGTAGTAGGGTCGCCAGTCCAACCCCGCGGGTTGTCTCCGGGTCTTCCGGTTTCCCCCCACTGCTAAGGACCCCTACAAGCGAATTATTGAAATAAAATTGAACCATATGTTAGTCCCGAAATGACCTAGTTTGTGTATTTATGTAACGTTTGAGGCCAAACGAAAGATCTGCATTAGGCAGATTTAGCTCTTGAATAATGCATCTTTAAGTAAGAAAACCTTCCCTTTATAATTCCGCTTGAGTGCATGGCTGAAA